CAAAACAAACCCTCAAATCCTTCAACTGTTTAATATTTTCACCTTCAACTGTTTAATATTTTCACCTCTATGCAACAATTAGTTGGTTTTTTTTTTTCCCTAGGATTAACTTCTTCCAGGTAAATCATAGCAATATGATTCTGATTATTTCTATCTTTTTTTTAATATTTAGAGAGAAAGGGAGAGGGAGAGCAAGAAATATTGATGGGAGCGAACATTGATGTGCTGCCTCCTGTATGCCCATCCCCCCCTCCCCCCCCCCCCCCGCCACTCCCCCCGCCCATCAGGGATCAGGCGTGCAACCCAGGCATGTGCCTGACCAGCAACCTTTTGGTGCAGGGGATGACACCCAACTGAGCCACACCAGCCAGGGCTATTTCTCTCTCTTTTTTTTTAAATTATTTTTTGAAAATATATCTTTATTGATTTCAGAAAGAGAGAGGGAGAGAGACAGAAACATCAATGATGAGAATAATTGATCAGCTGCCTCCTGCATGCCCCCTAGCCCCACAATGGGATCGAGCCTAAAACCCGGGCATATGCCTCCACCAGGAATCAAACTGTGAAATTGTGAACATTCTACGATGATACAATACGCCAATTTGTATACATATTAAAAGAAACATTTAGGCAGGAAGTCACTAAAAATGTGTAATGTAAGAAAAACCCTTTCTTTTGTTTTTAAAAGTTCTTACCTCATCGAATCCAGCGGCTTGTAAGTCTTGAAGCATTTGTGGATTAACCTCTAAAGTACTCCGACTTGTTTCATTTGCGAATGGTTGCAGAGAGTTTCGAATTTCCAGCAAGGCTTTATGATGAGTCCCAAATTTGGGTGGATTTCTGACTTGTCGAGGATCTTCAATTGACATTTTACTCATGTTATGTTCAGCCTTTGCAGCATCGGATGGTTTAGATAAATTCCTAAGGGATTCCCGAATTTCTTGCAACATTTGCCGACTACTGCCAGTATAGTTACTGGCAGGAAAGGTCTTAGGCCTCATTTGTCTATATCCTTCTGGCTTTTCACTTCTCTTCATGAAAACATCTATATGTATAACCCACACAAAGTACTTTAAGGGCCACTTGACAGATTCAGAGCCTTCTCTTGAGCAAAACTGAAAAAGGTCCTTTGCAGAAGTACCCAGGAATGTTAAAGTTCTTTACAATTTAAATAATTAACCCTGTAAAAGAAAAATAAATAAAAGCTATAAAGTGATTTACTGATAAAACAGTACCCTGAATTGGGGATAAAGGGGGAAGGGAGGACACACTGATTTAGGAGGTAGAGTCCTAGGTTATAGTTCTGCCTCTATTATGAATTACTGCATGATAAGGACAAATTTAATTAACTTCTCCATGCCTATGTCTTAATCTATAAAATTACATAAAGTAGTGGTTATAATGATAAAAAATAATTTTAAGAGTGCTTTAGTGCCGTAGCCAGTTTGGCTCAGCCAATGTGGCTCAGTTGGTTGGAGTGTCATCCCATACACCTAAAGGTCACAGGTTCAATTCCCAGTTCCGGCACATACCTAGGTTTCAAGTTCAATCCCAGTTGGCATGTACTAGAGGCCACAGATTGATGTTCCCCCCTCCCTTCTCTCTCTCTCTCTCCCCCCCTTTCTCTTTCTAAAAATCAATAAACATATCCTTGGCTGAAGATTAGTTTATATAAAAAATATAAATCTATTTTCTCACCACCCAGATGAGTTAATGGATTAAGAGAGGTAAGGTGGTCTGCCTAGGGCAGTGGGTCGGCAAACTGTGGCTCGCAAGCCACATGCAGCTCTTTGGCCCCTTGAGTGTGGCTCTTCCACAAAATACCACGTGGGCACGCATGTACAGTGCGATTGAAACTTCGTGGCCCATGCGCAGAAGTCGGTATTTTGTGGAAAAGCCACACTCAAGGGGCCAAAGAACTGCATGTGGCTCGCGAGCCGCAGTTTGCCAACTACTGGCCTAGGGTCATGTAGCCAGTAGAAGATCATACTAGGAATCGACTCCACACATCCTGAACCAACCCAGTGTTGTTCTCATTATACCTACATTTTGAGTTTCCTAAAAGCAGGGATTAAGACTCGCTCATTCTTTGAAGAGGCACATATATTGGTTAGAGTGAATAGACAAAACTTCTATTTCTTTAAAAGTTCAAACCTTCATCAATTATGCAAATATCAGTAAATCCAAACAAATACTGTTGATATTTTGTCCAACTTAGAGAAAAAAATAGGTATCATGACCTAAAGAGATTTTGGAGTGTTACCTTGCGTTGAATTAGGTTTATAAAAATTATGGCCTGTCTCAATGCTCTGACTAAAATCAGTTATGAGAATAGCAACAGTCATATGTACGGTTTCTTTCTTTGCAGCATAGTCTTAGTTTAGTCAGCAATATTCAAGAATCTCTGCATAATGATGGCATTTCTTTCAATTAGCTTTCTAAGAATTAACTAATCAAAAGTGAAGAGAATCAATATAATTTATCTTCATGCTGAAAAATTACTGCCATTTCTACTCGATAAAAAAGTTGTTCAATGACTAAATAACTGTTGTGGTCTACAAAAATCCCCCACTAACCTAAATCTAACATTTAGAATGAAAACTAAATAACCAGAGTTGGAACAGTTACAAGGCTATCCCATATAATAAAGAGGTAATATGCAAATGAACCCTCATGCCATAACGCCATCACAAGATGGCAGAGGGTACAGCAGGGGCGGGGCCGGCCACTCCACACTCCTGCTACTGGGGTTCCCTCAGCCCTGCTGGGGGGTAGGTCCCCACTGCTACTCCCCACAGCTTCCCCGGAGCTCCCTCAGCCCCGCTGGGGGGAGCGGGTCCTGGCTGCTGCTCCGAGCGGCTTCCACTGGGGTGACCAGGCCAGCAGGGAGCCATCAGGCCGGCAGGGGAGGGCAGTTGGGGGTGAGATCAGGCTGGCAGGGGAGGGCAGTTGGGGGCGATCGGGCCAGCAGGGGAGGGCAGTTTGGGTGAAATCAGGCTGGCAGGGGAGGGCAGTGGGGGGCGATCGGACCAGCAGGGGAGCAGTTAGGCGTCAATCAGGCCAGCAGGGGAGCGGTTAGGGGGTGATCAGGCTGGCAGGCAGAAGAAGTTAGGGGCAATCAAGCAGGCAGGCAGGCAGGCGAGGAGTTAGGAGCCAGAAGTCCTAGATTGGAGAGGGTGCAGGCTGGGCTGAAGGGACACCCCCCCCCCCCCAACCAGCGCACAAATTTCATGCACTGGGCCTCTAGGCCTATCTAATAAAGATGGAATATGCAAATTGACCATAACTTCACAACAAAAGATGGCCCACAGCCAATAAGGAGGGAATATGCAAATTGACGTGACAAGGTGTGAGGTGGAAAGGCCGCTCTGGGCTGGAGTGAAAGGCAGTGCCGGCAGCCAGGGGAAGGAAGGCCTACTCTTGCACGAATCTTCGTGCATCATGCCTCTAGTGTTTATATAAAACATCAATGACTATCATTAAAAAAGTAAGTAAAAACTTAATCTATAGAAGGAAGTCTAGATAATATCACACCAAGAAAATGTAGCAGTATTTTTTTATTTGCTTTTAGAGATTTGCAAGGCATGTTCAGTAAATACTCAGGCATGGAAAGACTGCACTTTTCCCAGCATGTGCCATGATCTAGTTTCTTGCAGTAGCAGCTGGTCAGAGGAACACAATGCTACTTCTTTTGCTGTTAAATCAAATTCTTCCACTTGCCTTAGGGAATCAACTAGCCCATTTTACCTGTCTGTCAACTTATTAAAGGAAAAGAAATGAACTTAGTTAAATCACAAATGTAGCAGAGAACATTCATTCTAATTATAATTTCCTCTTCCTGGAGGAAATTCGATTAAAAAAATTTTTTTAAACTTTGTAAATAATCCACAAAGGCCTGACAAAGTTCATGATCTCAGGCATTCAAACCCATCTCCCGAACTGGAGTGATACCATATCATTTGTGTGTGCAGCTATCCTTCCTTCTCACTAGGTTTATGCATCACTTGCACATGATGGCATCTTTTAAGTCCTTTTAACATGTGGGCCAACAAACATTAAATTTGTTCCCTTGGAAAATAACTTTCCATTGGAGAAGTCAGAGAACAGAGTGAAGTCACCTGAGAGCCGTTCTTCAACATTCAAGTTCTTCTCGACGTTAAAACAAACCATGTTCCCTTAGTGTTCTTCCCTCCATTCCCCGCATTTGCACCGATTCTCGCTACATACAGACCCCTCCGTCTCCCGCACTCCCAGCGACTATGAACAGCAGCCGGCACTACCGCGGGCTGTGAACTGAAATTCCCAGGGCTCCTCCCAGGTGCGTCCGGCCCGGTCCCTCCAGGCGGCCGAGAACAGCAGCTCTTTCCCTGCAATTTTCCTTCAGAACCACTTTCGCTTTCCTTCCCTCCTCAGCCCCGCGGACCCGTGCGTGTGGCCGAGGCGAGAGGCAGTCGCCGCAAGGAAGGCCTCGGGCAAAGCAGGCTCATCCCCGCCTCACCTGCACCTCCAAGGCCGCGAGGCTTGGGGGCTCTCCCTCCGGCCGGGGGCGCGGCCAACCCTCGCTTCCCGAGCAGGCTCGGCTCGGGCCCCTGCCCCCGGCCCCGTCGGCCGGCCACCCGGGGGGCCCGCGGCAGCCCCTGGGAGCCCCCCCCAGCCGGGATGGGCGGGGGCCCCCGGGGGGCCCCCCCCCCCCCCCAGCTCCGGCTCCAAAAGAAAAAAAGGGGCCCCCCTCCCGGTTACGCGGGCCCCGAACTTACTTGGGAGGGAAACGGGGGGGCTTCTGAAAAGCCCCCCCGGCCAAAAGGAACCCCCAGGGCCCGAAAACCCCTCCCGGGGACCCCCAAATATCCCGGGGGGGACAGGGCGGGGAGAAAACCCGGGGGGGG